TGAGGTGCATTGAAGTCTCCCCCAACTAGTACTGGGCACCCAGGATAGGTTTGACGCAGGTGAGCCAGCCACCCCAAACGCAGTCGGGGAGCGCTGCCACTATACGGACGCACGTAACTGAAACCACAATCACGTCAGTACGCGGAAGTCTAACGAGCACTGCCACCACTTCTTGCCACTGGTTACACCACTGCAGCAGGGGAACCTGCGTTTGAGGATATGTAGTCACAACATACACTGCAGCCTTGCCTGGAGGTCCCAACGCATTGGTGCAGCGTCGATCAGGGATGGTTGGGGAATCATACGCAGTGAATCCAGGGATGCGTGGAAGCGAATTCGTTTCTTGTAGAAGCAGGCACCAAGCGGGGAGCTTCCCCAGCGCAAGGCGATAGCGAAGCTCACCAACTTTATTTGCAAGTCCCCGGCAGTTCCACTGCAGGACACAGTGGTGGCGCGTTGCTTTCAAAGGAGTGGTCATTGCGGTGGAAGGTTGGCGAGCACCACCTTTGAAAGCTCTTGCAGTTGCCGGGCAACAAATTGGAGGAGCTCTGCCGGAGTCATCTTGACTGGTGCTGACGCGCTTGCGCAGGATAATTCAGGCACAGAAGCAGCGTACGGCACGTCTGTACCGCGCATCGCAGTTGGTCCAGCGGGTCGAGCGAGATGGGTTCTGCGTTGAGCGAGGCGCTTGACTTCCATTTGGAGCTGCTGTATCGTGTGGTCAAGCTTCGCCAGATCGTCTGTACCCGTAACGCTCAATTTAGGCGTATTCGCAGGCTGCTGAACACGTTTTTTTGCCCCGCTTGACGGCGTCGCTGTACGTGGGGACTTCATAGCAAGCATTTTCAGGTTCTACCAACGCTGGTGTGTCCTCTTCGGAGGGGGACAACAGTTCAAACCGGTTGCTAGTCGGAATGTCGGCGTCCCTTTCTTCTTGTGTCACCGAACGCTGGCGGCGCTTGCGTTGGCGACGGGCTTTGAGAGCCTTCTGTTTAACTGGACAATCTTTGGACGTTATTTCATGATCGTCCGTTTGGCAGAGCCCACATTTGTACGTGCGCGTCTCGACGGACTCCATGGAGGTGTCTGCGGGTTGGGGACAAGAATCTCGCATGTGACCGGTACGAAAACACCGATAGCAGTGTACCACACCGGGCTTGTACACATGAAATTTCAGGATGCATCCATAGTACGTAATGCGGCTTGGTGGCGTTCGAGGCCCTTGGAGAGTGACAAGGCACGTGCGTCCACGGCCCATATAACGAGCTGTTACAATCTTGTGTGTGGAGCAGGTCAAAGCAGTGATAATGCCCTCCGGCGATTCCCCTGGGTCAACCCCAGAGACCACATACCGACGCAAGTCCGAGCCGGAACTCAAGTACGCTTGCACCTGTACAGTACAATCAGCTGTGACTGGCAGAGTTTGCAGGTGGGTGAGGCGGTCAACGTCTGCTAGCGAACGCACCCATACGGATACGCTGTTGGTGGGATGGTGAATGGAGAAACCTTGAAACGCGGTGGTTTTGAGGCAGGTGTCGAAGGCTGACTGAAGGAGGCGATTGACATTTTGATACATCGAAGCACTCACGAGGTTTTACGATGACTTTGTACTTAGACTCGGTGCCCGGCGAGCGACAGCTGCCGGAGAGGGGGCACTCCCGCTTGCTTGCCGGTGTGGCTGAGCAGACAAATCAATCTATTCCCAATTTGTGGTCAGCCACGCGTTTCGCACTGCGTTTCGGAGCGGATGATGGTTGTGATGGGCTGCGTCTTAAGCTCCGCTGCAGCCATCGTTACTGGTTCACATGAAGAAACGGGGAGCGTTGCCGCTGCCAGATGCACCGGCGAGACGCCGGAACTGTCCTGGCGAGCGTCCCACGCACAATGTTGAAGTGAACGGCACCAAGGGTGGTTAGTCCAGGTCGTCGATGGTGTCCGGGAAGAATAGGTGCTTGGGGGCGACCCACGGCCTCGTCCAGGGCGTCCGGCAGGTCTGTCCTTAGCCGGTGGGGCCAGAGAGCTGGGCGGCGTTCCTGTATTCATGTCACTGTGGCCCAACACTCGCTAAACTTTATGAAACCCAGGATGTTATGCCCAGCGAGTATAACGTAGCATCCCTTTCTGTCAGATAGTGCTCACTGTACATGCTGATGGCTGCAAAAGGGCAATGAGAGACAGGAGAATTCGGCTTTTAGTTAAACACGCGCGCTGCGAATTTTTTATTGTTCAACAACGCACAGAGACAATCTCCCACCGGCACAACTTGGAGGTCAAAAATGTAAGATTGGTTACACGCTACGACCATGACTACGAGGGACGAACAGGTGGCGCTATAAAGAGCTTCGCCTCTAAAACGCGAATGCCCGTCAGCGTCGTCGGCTCTCAGGGCACGGAACTCAGACGCAGCGGAAAGAAGCGGCAATCGCCCTCGCCACCACCACATGTAAGGACGCCGCGGTGATTCTCACTGACTCGCAAGCCGCTCGCCGGAATTATGTGAAGGGCCGCGTCTCAGTCGACGCAATCATCCTGCAGCGGCGAAGCTCTTCACTTCCATATGCCTGCGTAATCTAGGTTTTTGGACACGAGGGTCTACAGGGAAATGAAGCGGATCACGCCGCTGCCCGCGAGCACGTCAGCCGGGCCGCCCTGGGACGAAAGGATACCCGATCTGTCTGGTAGGTGTTCTGTGGATCCGTGGCTGCAGAGATGGCGGTAGTAGAAACACACCTACTCTCGCTACTTCAACCACTACAAACTGGAGTGCGGGTGTACCCTCCACCCCATCCAAGACTAACCAATAAGAGAGCGTGACTTCAGATGCCTACAAAGCAATACTTACATAAATGGCATATTATGCACTGCTCTACCTAACAACACATGGCTACATGTGCCTGCTCTGCAGCGTACCAGACACCCTGGCACACTTGCTCCTAGAATGCCAGTGCCATGCTAACCACGACGTGCAACTGGAGCGGGACCAAGCCACAAACAAAGACTACATAATGGAAAGGTGGGAGGCGAAGCTCGTCCTCGAGGACCTGGAAGACCAGCGACAACTCGTCGCCAGGGCCAAGGGGGCAGTCGAAGCCAGAGGGTTCCTGACTAGGGAACCCTCCCACCTTATGGTGACACCGGACCTCGCTAGGAACACTGTTTCTAAATAAACGTTGATTTCGCTCTCTAGGAATTGACAGACAGCAAGTTTGACTTGTTCATCCAGAAAAACTAAATTTGGATGTTTCATGAATTTTCAAATACCGTACGTGCTAAAAACATTGAAGTAAAGATGCAGCGTTCCAGCGGCCTAACTTGTTGCAGTTTTATTCATCGGAGGACCAATACTTCTTCACATGCTATAAAATTAGTAAAATACGCAAGCTCCGGTGTCCTGTCGTCTGTAGCCACTAATTATAGCTTTATTGTTAAGCATATCCAGTGTAATGCAGAAAAGAGCCTTGTATAAAACAAATTTCCTAAACTTTAATATAGAAAATTGTAGGTACATTATTGGGTGCAACTTTCCATGAAGTCTCCTACCGGTCAAAGTATGCTGCCTTTCCAGACCAAATATAAACCATGCGTCCGAGCCCAATATATGAACAATTTTAACAAACAAAAACAAATATGCAGAGATTCCACATAAATAGCCTACGAAAGCTAGCGCTTCGTTTTGATAACATGCTTTTTGGCACCAGCAGCAATAAATCTCACTAAGCAATATCCTTCTCGACAAACGCATGGCAGGTGGCTTTGGGAGAAATCTCCTGCGGGAGAAATGTTCATCAAGCCACAAAGGCGATCCAGCTTGATATACTGTATGCACTCATTAGTGTGCTTTCAAAGGACAGTAGGCGTTAACCTAACGCGTATATTGTAGTATTGAGCACTGACTTACGCCATCGAATTTAGATCCACGAGGTACGCAGCATCAACAGCAGGGCTAATGGGGCTGCCTAATAAAATAATTGTTTAGGATTTAGGTGCCGAAACCACGATATAATCATAAGGGAAGCCGTATATATACAGTGGACGTTTCCAAAATTTCTACCATCTGGGATTCTTTAACGTGCGCCTTATTCTAAGAACACGTACCTACAGTATTTGCCCCCTATTGAAGTGTGATCACCTTGGCAGGTATTTGATCAGCAAGCCTAGCACCACAGTTATTGGATCGTGGTGGATCGGCTCATCAGGTCAGCACATTGAGAACTACAACATGGTTTCCTCTCGTGCCTTGGTACAACTGTACTACTGATTCCGCAACATTAAGAAATTACCAGCTTACATGATTAAAAACCGCCATGCATTATTTTTGTCTATGTATTTTTCCAGATGAACCATATTGAGGACACCGTGTACCGGAACTCCTGGACAATCGCCAAGGCGAGGTCAAGCAGAGTGCCATGTTACCTATGGAGAGTATCGACAACTACACGAGAGGTGCCTTTTCGTCGAGCGAGTGGCTGGAGAGTCTCAACAAACAGGCATCGGCCACTGGTTGGCCGACGTTCTTGGCACGGGACCCCATTGTTCTCAGAGACACAGGGTTGCTCACAGGACTTCGCCGGATATGGGCGAGGCACAGCGAAGCGAAACTGCTGGAGGCACTCGCGTGGCTTCCTCGCGCAGATACTGGGACCCATTGCGGACGCGAGACTGCTGAGGTTCAGGTGAAATATTTGACGCTTTACTGCAGTGGGAGCGAATGCACGGCCTTGTCCTTCTCGATTCTGCGAGTGTTGCGCGAAAGAATGTGGTGAAATTTCCAAAAACAAAACGATGCTGGATGATACCCGCCTGTATACGGCAGCAAGTTATGCTCCTTCGCACAGTAGCGCAATACTTAAGAAAGCAATAAATAGTGAAGCAGGCATTGTTGGGAGACACTCGATGAGGATAGTGAGGGAAAATATTTAGTTGATATTATGCGTTGCAGTATGAAATCTTCAGCAGAACCTATTCACAAAGATTGTCAAAGCAGATAAAAATCATTCCTCATGGGATACGTGTACACTATTGAGCTTCCAACAAGGTCAGTGTAATGGAGCATGAGAAGCCGTCACCTCACATTTATTGTTCGCTACAAGACTCTGTGTGCGTATGTACATATATTTTATTTCTTCACGCGTGAGCCACACTTGAACCGCACGCGTGAAGAGATAGGAATTGCCCTTACAACTCGACGCTGTGGAGTGCGACTCTTGTATATCTACGTTACATGTACAAGAGAAAGTAAAAAAAATCTTCAAATAAAAAGCACTTCTACAGCCAACGTTTGAGCAAGAGCACTTCCTTCGGAAAAATCCCGAGAGGAGATTTCTCCAGTGAAAGCGTTAACTTCAGCGGCGTTCACCTTTTGATCGCCCTTGGGTGTGCCGCAAGAACCTTCGTCAACGAAGAAGGTTGCGTCTAATCCTAAACCTCTTCGCTTTTCCCGCGTGGCAATAGCCTTACCTTCCCTGTTTTCTTCCTTTTTAGATATGCCAACCTCGCCACAACCAACATCAGGCGCGTTCACTTCTGTGTCAGCGAGGTGGAAGAGATATACCGGTTCTTGGTGATCGTCCTGGCGACAGTCGTCAACTTTCGCGAAAGCCTGCGCCTAAACATAAGCTCCCAGCTCGCCATTGTCCAGCAGGCGGCAGGAGCGCTGGTCGGAGCCCTGCCGTGGCTCGACAACGCCACCAAGGTCGCCTCTGGCAAGAAGATCGCACGGGCCAAGACGCTGTTGTGGCCACCCAACGATTTCCTCACAGACGACGTGCTCTCCGTGATGTACTCCGGCTTTCCCGAGGACGTGCTGTCCGCAGACGAGACTTTCGCCGATCTGTGGCTCCAGTCCAGACAGGCACTTTCCGACCTGGTGACGGACCGGTCTTACGAAGCCACGGCGATCGACATGCTGGCGAACACGCGCCTGCCCTTGGCCCAGTACGACTACGTGCGCAACACTGTCCGAATCTCGGTCCAGGCACTGTCCGCACCGCTGTACTATCCGCAGGGCACCAACGCCATGTTCTACGGTGGCCTGGGCTTCGTATACGCTCGTGAACTCGTCAAGAGCTTGGACGGGGAGGGCGTCACGTTCGACGGGGACGGCAACGTGGGTCTCGACTGGTCTTCGGATGTCTGGAAGATCACCATGGTCGAACGGACGTTCTGTCTTGCGGCCCAGAGTGGCAGCGCCGAAAAACGCGCCCCAAGGCCGAACGTGAGTGTGCACCGACCTGCGTTTCTTCCTCGGCAGGTCATTTAAAAATGATTTTGTGTGTATATAATTAAAAAATATACACATGTGCCTCACACCGAAACAGTACTAATAGGCATTTGGGGCTGTGAACAAACTATTAAGCATTCTTACAACTCAAATTACTTACCATTATTCAAATTACGTACCATGCGATGATGTTGACATGCTTAGCTCTTCTTGCCACTGAAACTTATTTGTTACGTGATGCTGAGGCTTTGAAATTCTTGCCACACGCATGCAATGCTGTCGTACCTTTTGCTGCTGTGTTAGTGCATGTACGAATGCCCCGCTTGATATGGCAAGAGACACCACCGAGTATTTACATACAATGCATGCACTAAAATCAAAACGAGAAGGCTCCTCTACATTTACATTTAGCTTTTAGCTCAATCACTATACAACCAACTACAAGCAACCGAAATGCAACGGCGTCGAAGTGGCTAGATTGTGACAACGTTATACCGAACATTTAAGCGCCTTTCTTGAGCTGGTGGCCGGCGACTCCACGCTATGTCCCCGCTAATATATCCGCGAGCTTATTAGTTGTGACCCATGTCCTTCTCGCACCGGTATGAGCTGATGACCATTTAGAGTTTTCACGGTAAGAATAACAGTGTGAATAAGTCAGTTCTGCATGTGCGGCGTGTTTCCCCTTCTCACCAGTAGTATTGCATAACCTCATGCCTGGTCACATATCAGGTTATTGTGCCCGACACTAGACGCTGCACTGCATTCACATTGTAGATAGCCGTCTCAACAAAACGGTCCACTGTTTTCGTTTCACAAATTCGCGCGGTACTTGTTTGCAGACAATCGCCTCTTCCCCGACATTCCGGCGCTGGAGGTGGCATACGCGGCGTTGCAGTGGGCGCTCGCTTTGGATCCACATCCGACGAGAGTGCTCGAGCATTACACTGAGCAACAGCTGTTCTTCATCACACTCTGCTACCTCATGTGTGGCGCAGCTCATCCGGGCGCCAGGAACTGCAACAAGGCTCTGCGCCACTTTCCGCCCTTCGCCCAGCACTTCGACTGCAAACAGGGCAGCGGGATGAAAGCAGCCAAGCCGTGCTCGTTGCTCTATATCCCAAATCGCAAGAGTGACAGCGACTAGTGGAACGGACTACCGGCTGTGTGTAGATAGCGTAAAATAAGTTACTTAGTGCATACTTTACGAATTTTTCGAATGCCCTATAGTATATCGCAAGTGAAACGCAATATCGTCATAGCACACAGGACGAACAACATTCGCGTAAGCTTGTCGCTCTTATTTTTCTTTTCTTCGAGTAGCACAGCCTCGTGTGAGACAGCAACTTCCTCGCTTAACGTTTCTTTGAAATATCATAAATGCGGGTTTAATGTATCAGCAAGATCGCACTAAACTGCGTCAATCTTATAAAATACTAGAGTCACTGTATTTTTCATTGCTTTGTTCAGTTGGGTAACCCGGCAACGTTACGCGGAAAATGCTCCCGTGCATTTTTACAGAAGTGTTACCTGCATGCATCATTTCTGCCATAAATGCCAACATCGCATGCTGCACTCGCATTGTGCTCACTAAGCAGTTTTAGGCAGTCGGCGCGACTCCAATAAGCGACATCGCAGATGACACGTAGTACAGGGACAGTCGCAACTGTCGCGCTCATAAACAGTTTCCACCGTGGCAGTTCGTGGTTATAGCCGACTACAATGGGATTTTCCTTCTTTAGTTGTGGAATAAAAAAAGTGTGGACTTCGTACCATGAGCCTTGAAACTACGTCTAGGGAAAACCTTCTTCATAATATAAAAATGGCAGCATATCTACGGGGTGAATGATGGAGAGTGGGGCGAAGCATCCGTCCGTCCATTCGTCCGTCTATGTGACCGTCCGTGCGTCCCATCTGTGTGTACGTCTGTTCGTGCGTCCGCACGTCCATCCATGCGTCAATTCCCTGCGTTCGTCATGCACCCGCCCCTGCGTTCGTCCATGCGTCCATCCCGTCCGTGCATTGATATGTGGGGTTTACGTCCCAAAACCACTATATGATTATGAGAGACGCCGTAGTGGAGGGACTCCGGAAATTTAGACCACCTGGGGTTCTTTACGTGCACCCAAATCTGTGCACACGGGCCTACAACATTTTCCGCCTCCTCGGAAATGCAGCCGCCGCAGCCGGGATTCGAACCCGCGCCCTGCGGGTCAGCAGCCGAGTACCTTAGTCGCTAGACCACCGCGGCGGGGCCATCCGTCCGTTCAGCCGTCCATGCGTCCGTCCATGCATCTGTCTGTGTGTCCGTTCATCCATCTAGTCAGCACTCCAAGTACCACCATCTCGCATCTTTTCATGAGATATTCCGCACATAGAAGCACCGCCATCCAGCGGACATTCCAAGGACTAAACAAAAAGTGGCACACGCACACTTATGGCTTGCGCTTCGTGTCTACTTCCTACCTTTAACCACCTCGAGTTGATAGTATATACTAGTTCACTGTATTCATGGCACTGCGGCGCAACGCTCACTAAACCTTTCTAAAACCAAGGAGGTTACGCCCAGCGAGTATAACGTAGCAACCCTTTCTTGTCAGACAGTGCTCAATGTACATGCCAATGGCTGCTAACGGGGAATGAGAGACAGGACAGTTCGGCTTTTAGTTAACGCGCGCGCTGCGAATTTTTTATTCTTCAACAACGCACAGGAGAAATCTCCCACCGGCACCACCTTGTAGGTCAAAGCGTAAAACATGTTACGTACTACGATGAGGGACGAATGGGGTCCATTTAATAAGCTTTGCCCCTAAAAACTGCTTGAGCTTGCAGCAACACTTCAATCACCCAAGGGTTCCAAACGAGCTTCTCATTTAGCTTGCGTGTTTCCAGGGTAAAAGCTTACAGCCTATACACTTTAACTAGAAAAATTGGCCCCATATCTGCAAGTTAATCTGCAAATGTTGTCGAAAGAAAATAGTCTCGCGTTTGGAGAGAGTGAACAAAACATTTATTTGATCTGCTGCGCAAGAAAATCGGTTAAAGGTATTCTGCAGGCGCTGCGTTAGAGTGCCTCAAGTGTGCTGCGGAGGCGAACGAGTGCATCAAGTCATGCCACGCGTGAGACATGAGCGCCATCTGGCAGTTTTCTTTGAAAACGAAGCACGGGGCTCTGAGACGGCTGTGTGCGCCCGTTTCAGAGGTGATAAAGTGTAGAACGTAAGGGGACGGGTAGGTGCCACCACCGTGTCGTCTTAGCAAAGCGTTGGAAACACTCGCTTCTTCGTGCAAGCATTGCATGGTCAGCGCAGCGTGAATAGCGCTACGGTCCCTAAAATTACTTATGTTTTTTTCTTGTAAAAGACGCAAAGCAGAATATATACGTGTTTCATGGTGCCCCAGACATAGAGAAAAAAATGCTTTTTAATTGACAATTGCACAAGTATGATCGCTGAACCTTGAGCAACACTGGTGGGCGCTGTGGATGGGGTCGGCCGTTTCAAGTACCCGGTGCCGTTAGGAGTGGACAAACAGACAAATGTACAGACAGAGCAACTGACAGACAGACAGACCAAAATTTTTGCGTCGAAGGTCCCCAAGAAAGACTATCATCTTTAATATTATATTTACAAGCACCGATTTTGTCATGTTCAGTAGTATACTTAAGGAGTGTCTCACTTCTCCAACGCCGATATTTCGACTGTCCAGCAGCCAATGGCCTAGCATCATATTTTTGGAGCAATGCCAAAAAATTTAAAAAAAAAGCAAATCAGTCGGGATGGGGCGATATGAAGACAAAAAAAACTTCCAGTATTTTTTCTCAACTGCTCATCCAAATTTCTCAACTTTGTGATTGCCACCAGCCAGTGTTGTTCCCGCAATAATTACTGATAATCTTTCAGTAAAACTTCATATATAAGGACTCACCCATTTCACGTACGCTGTAATAGTGGCATGTTGAATCGCAGCATGGTGTGTACGTGGTCGAGAAGTGGCGATGCAAAGCATCGCCACACTAAGAACACGTGTTTTCTTTTTTCTTTGTAATCTACCTTGTGATAAGCATCTACAATACCCAGCGTGTTCTCGGTGACGTTTTCCGATAGCTTTGCTCGAAACTTGGTGCAGACCACTTCATAGTGAAGACGAACCTTTAGCGTCGAAATGAAGCGGCACAGCGCGGACTGCTCAGACCTTAATGTTTTCCCCTTGCCACTCAGCATTAAAAACAAAAAAAAAGTTATCTTGCCGACGACGCAGACATGACTGCCACTTGCGACGCCTGTTCACATGTGGGATGGGCAAGTGACCGCCAGAAACGTCCCACATAACGACCCACTGCCGTATAATTGATTGATTGATTGATATGTGGGGTTTAACTCCCAAAACCACTATATGATTATGAGAGACGCAGTAGTGGAGGGCTCCGGAAATTTAGACCACCTGGGGTTCTTTAACGTGCACCCAAATCTGAGCACACGGGCCTACAACATTTCCGCCTCCATCGGAAATGCAGCCGCCGCACGTATAATTGTAACGAAAGGGAAAGCTTAGCATGTACTTACATATGTGTTGTTTACACGCCAATGTCAGTTGTCTCTTGTCCCTATAGGGGGCTGGTAACCTACGCCGTACCACGTCGTGGTGTTTCCTATTTTGCCCATGTAACCACTGCTGCAGAACCGGAATCGACTGCGGCGTGCCGCTCTACCATTGGCGCCACACGTGACGTTTATGTCACCTGGCTATCTCACGTGTGACCATGGCCGTACGTCCCGCGGTTAAATAATAATAAGGAGTTTCAGAGCGCCGTTTGCAAGCGCTGCGGGCGTAGTGGGCACCATATGAGTTTTAGAATAGCGTTTGCCTTGCTGCTAACCGCAACGCACGATCTCAGCGACACCGTAGCCTCGAAACCAGCGTTTGCGGGCCACATGCGAGCCGCGATCGCCACACGCAATATCGAATTTTCTGCGCACGGGCCGTGAACTCGAACACAGGCTCGCGTTATGACGCATGCGCAGTGGCAGCGACCGCACCGTAAGGGCTTCCGGTGCGCTATTCTAAAACTCCCTAATATATGGCGTTTTTACGCCATAAGAACCATGATACCATTGTGAGAGACGCCGTAGTAGGAGACTCCGGAATTTTCGACCATCCGAACTTGCACCGACATCACACAGTACACGGGCCTTCACCGTCTCGCCTACCCCGAAAGGAGACTTCCGAAGCCGGGATCGTAACCTAGACGTCCAGGTCAATCGTCGGACACCTTGACCGCTGAACCGCCGTAGTGGAAGCAAGTCCCGCCATTGCGCTCTTTATAATAAGGAAACACCCCTTCGTGACGCCGCGCATACAGCTATGCACCTGCAGAACGAAAATCGCGTAGGGCAGAAATAGGACACAGTGTTGAACTCCCGAAGCATCTCGCTGCTGAACTTGCTATTCACAGAACTCACTTGTCGCAGTCCATGTAATAGTTTGTAAAGACAGGGTTTATTGCATCTTTCATATGGGTACCAGGTATACTTGTTTTGTGCTTTTATTATGACTACCCATATTACACACCAGAGCCGGTAGAGACAGGATGCGAGACTGCATGTATAGTGAACAGGACGTCATGTGTTGAAAACTTAGCTTAAGGGATGCTATCTGGTTAGATATAAGCGTCGAATACCTACCGTCGTTTAAATCTCTACGTTGATGTGTATGTCACTTCTTCCGCTTTGAATTGTGGTCGCTGCGCATATTGTGCGCGTATGTATGAAATCGTTGAAGTTAAGGCACCTTTTTTTCCGACAACGTATACGTCGCTTCATCCAGCACTCGCTGGGAATTTCCGCTCATTTGGGAGGTGATCACAGTGATGAACCGAAGTCTTGCTCGAGAAATTCAGCCTTCTTGCAGACCCTGTTCAAGCAATTTCTCACATGTAACTGCTTGAGCAAGCTTCAATACCAGCACTCCCTCAGATGGGTGATGGTACATGATTGTATACTTATTGATATGGTTATGTTTTGTTCAGCACACGCCTTCGTACTTCAACGTTCTTTAAAACAACTGAATTTCTATGAATTTGCAGCGCATAATCTTCTTTGGTTGCGCGCCTGAATGAGCAATAATATACGACGCCTTTCTATTGTT